AAAATGCCCCCAATTTTTAAAAAAAATGCCCCCAGATAAAATTTTTTTTTCAAATTCCACTCACACATTAGCCCCAATGCCCCCAATTTTTAAATAAAATGCCCCCAATTTTTAAAAAAAAACTCACACATTTGCCCAATTGCCCCCAATTTTTTTTAAAAATGCCCCCAATTTTTAAAAAAAATGCCCCCAATTTTTTTTTAAATTATCATATAAAAAAAATTTGCCCCCAATTAAAGAATTTGCCCCCATTTCTTTCAAATTTGTCAATCCCAAATGGGATTGAAAAGGGAATTATATTGACCCCTGGTGTTCAGTGCTAGATAGATAGCACGTTTTCGTTGCTAGATGGATAGCTAACTTTTCTCTCTAGATGGATGGCTAGTATTCATTTCTAGATAGATAGCTAGTATTCCTTGCTAGATAGAAAGTTAGATAACTTGTAAAAAAATGAAAAATTTAAATAATATCATATAAAGATTGCTGATAAGCTTTTACTTGTATAAGAATGATGGCGCCTGTATGATAAAATATAACTGTTGTTAGTTGTAAACTGCTCCATTCCTATCCTATACTAATTCCCCCCCTTGAATACAAATTCTCCCAGGGAAATCAAAATGTTCCCAAAACGCCCCCCCCCCCTCCCCTCGGCACCCCATTATATTATAAATACACCACCTCTCCCTCGAACATCTGTATCCCCCCCCCCCTCCTACCCTCGTCGACTGAATACCGTCCAAGGCTGAATTCGCATCTGCCTAAACCTCTAAACCTTAAACTAAGCTCTAACCCTTATATTTCAACCTCGGCTACAATTCAAATCTGAATCCTTCAAAATTCAAATGTTCCCCTCACAGGATTTTCCCAATCCTTCTTTGGTATTCGTAATTCTTCATTGTAGGGTGTTCCCAATCCTTCATAAGTATTCTTAGTCCTTATTGCGATTTTCCAATTGTCTTTGGATGTTCCCAATCCTTCTTGGATATTCAAAATGCTTCTTGGACATTCCTAATCCTTCTTATATATTTCCAATCCTTCTTGGATATTCCGAATCCTTCTTGGATATTCCTAATCCTTCTTATATCTAATCCTTCTTGTATATTCCCAATCCTTCTTGGATATAATCACAAAATTTATTTAGTATTCCATATCCACTTAATATCCCCTTAGGGTACAAACAAACCTATTTTTGGATATTCCAGCTTTTTGGTGGATATTCTTAGTTCTGGAAAGAATATAAGTGGATAAAGTAAAGAGTCCGAACCTTTCACCCATAAATTTATCCTCCCTGTCTCAGATAAGAGAAAACAATCCAAAAATGAAATTGTTCTTCTAAACTGCGCAACATGCACCTTCACGAGAAAGTAAGAACCAAGAAATTTAACAGGCCAATTTCAGGCTAGTTTCAAGCCAACCAACAAGGTTGAAACAGAGTGGATTGAAAAAGTCAATGTAAAATTTGAAGCTAAAGATTCTAACCCGGTGCTTGTAATTTTATCTTCCCAAGCCAAGCAGTCAGGCAGTAAATACAAGCAGTATTGATTAGAGATACCTTAAAACATCAATTCAAAGTTTTTCCTGCAAAATTTCTCATTAATATCGAGAGAAAATTGCAATTTTCAATAATTAGAGAATACACGAGCAATCTCACCAAGAAAGGGAAAATGCAATAGGGATCGAAAAAACTCGAACAGGGATCAAGGATCGTTTATGATTCGAAAAAGGATTGACTATGGATCAAGTAGGACTAGAAGAATGAGAAGTTAGGAATGCAAGCTACAAAACCGCCTCCAGGAAGGGAATCCTGTAGAAATTTTTAAACAGCTGACTGTGAGAAATATATTTACAACGCTTAAAATATTAACAAATGATAACACCCCCTCCCCCCCGTAAATCCGAAAGGCTCCCCCCCTTTCCCAAACCGTTCCTAAAAAAGTTTTAGAACGGAGAAAAAACAGGTCCAAATCCCGGAAGGAGGATTTTGGCTGCAATTCACTTCGGCTTGGCTTGTTGAATTCAAGCCAAGCCGTAAAAGGAGGGGTGGGGGGCAGGGGCGGTTGCCGGGACTCGTCTCTCGAGAAATTTTAGGAATTTTAGGACATTTGAAAATGTAAACCACAAGAGCAAATATCTACAAGGAGAAGAAAAAAATGGCGGGAAGAGCAGAGCAGTGAGAGAATATTATTTTACGTTAACAAAAATAAAAATTTTAAAAAAATTCTGTACGTTAATAATATGTTCTTATTCAGAATCTGTTTTCGTGTTTTGATGATTCTTTTCTACCACAATTAATGATATAAGGTCAAAAAATAAGAAAAATAAAACTAGTTATAACTTAGTTTAAGTCCACAATAATAAGACAATCTGAATTGAATCGATTCCCTCCTTTGAAAGATATTATAATATATTCGTCTCATGAATGATTAATATATTCAAATGTAAATAAGATATTTTCACAAAGTTTTCAGACTTTCTTTCTTTTGAAATTTAGATTTGTGAAATCTTTTCCAATATTCTATCCTTTCTAAACTATACTTCTATCCTTTCTAAACTATACTTCTATCCTTTCTAAGCTATACTTCTTTACTTTCTAAACTATACTTCTATCCTTTCTAAACTATACTTCTTTACTTTCTAAACTATACTTCTATCCTTTCTAAACTATACTTCTNGGGGGGGGGATGAGGGTTAGCCTGAGGAGAAATAGAACTGCGAGGAGGACTATAAGGAGTGAAGAATTCAACCCAGATTTAAAATTGATAAAATATGAAAGGTTTATAAAGTGGAATATGTATATTCAAGAATAGACCTCTTGTATTCAAGTCTACAGTCTTGACCTTTAAATCCACTTCTTCTTACAACGTGTTTAGTACAAATAATTTTTTATCCATATTTAAGTATCATTGTATCATTGTATCATTGTATCATTGTATCATTGTATCATTGTATCATTGTATCATTGTATCATTGTATCATTGCATTATTGTATCATTGTGACATTGTAACATTGTATCATTGCATCATTGCATCATTGTATCATTGTATCATTGTATCATTGTATCATTGTATCATTGTATCATTGCATCATTGTAAGCATAAATTTGCCAAACTAAAAATTCAGGTAAAATCTGACGAACTAAAAGTTTTTTTGAGTAAATTTTGCCTTGGTGTTCTTTGGAAAAATTCGTATAACAAAATAAAATTTTTTTAAAGTGAGTAAATAAAGTTGCATTATAAAATATAGACGTGACGTTTAACAACCAGTAAAATACAAGATTAAAATCAAGATTTGAAAACACGTTGACTGGATACTTGTTTTTCTACCTAGCCAGGCTCTACTCTGGATTATCAACAACTCCTGAGTATAAAGTTCAATCTCTTAATAAATGTCGTGAGACAATAATAATATCTTGTTAAAGCAACCTGAGCAAGCCAAGCACCTATCCCCTCAAACAATGGATGATATGGCTACTTTATCCCTCCTTATATTCCCAGGATGATACGGTTTCTACCCCCCCCCCCTAAACCTCAACTCGACAAGAACCACAGAAAGAAGAAAATCCGTGAAAGTATTTCTCCAGGATTTTGTTAAAACTTACAATAAGTCCTGTTTCAGCTCTAGGTAGAAGGGTTACAGTGCTTCCATCTACTAGTAGATTCTGACATATACTCCCATCCACAAGCTCACTGAAAAAAAGAAAAAATATTAAAATAAATTTTATACTTCATAATGAACACGAAAAAATCAATATTAGTTAATCCTAATGTTTTCCAAGGAAAAGTTTATTGAAAATATAAAAAATCAAGTCTTAATTTCGTGGATTATATGAAAAGAGAAAAATTAATGGATGTCAATAATAATATTATAGAGCTTGTATAAAAAAAATGAAGAAAGTTAGAAAAATAATTTTTAAAAGTTTTGAATACAGACTGTTAATTTTTTCACATATGTTTCCCCCTTCTTATAAAGGAACTGGTTTGCGCTTGTTCTGTTTTCAACTCAGTCGGATTTTAAATTTCATGTCAACTGCATTTTAAATCTTTTCACAATATATAAACCTCAATAAGGTTTAGAATTCAATTTGAATTTTAAAATTTCAATTCGAAGAAAGAAAATCTTTGTTATATACATCATAAAATTTTTCTTAAAAATATATCAATTTTTGATTATTAAAATTAAATCTCCTTATCGTCACCATCGCAACATTACATCCCGGTTATAGAATGTTCTAAATGTTTAATATAACTCCATCCAGGAGGAAGATTTCATGCATGAGGTATTTTGGCAAAACTAACTCAAAGATTCGCCTTGTTTTGTCTAACTTTAGTGCGAAAAATTGTTTTGCAAACGTGCCAAAAATGTGGTTCCGAGCAATACTTTTGCAATAATAGAAATGGTGCGGGTGTAACGACCAGAAAAGTATTTAAATCTACAGTTTATAAACTAAAAACCTTTAAACTGTATTCTATATTGATTTCAAAATAATAATTAGGTAAATTTAAACATTTTTACTTACACCTTGAATTAAAAATTCTTCTTAAACATTATCTGAAAGGGATAAAGAGCATATTAAAATCTAGGAAATAAATCTATGTATTTTTCAGAAAATGTGGATATTCTTCAAGTGCACTGTTAATTCAAAGGTCGCCTAATATTACGTTAAAGTAAAAAGAATTAATAAAGAATATTAAAAACTATTTTCAGGTGTTATTTATATTAAAACACCATGGTATAGTTTATCAGGTGGAACTCTACTTTACTAAAATATGAAATATTTGACTTGGGGGGGGGGGGCAAAGAAAAACAGTAGTAAAGAAGGAAACTAAGATTGTTGAGAAGGAAAGGAAAATTGTACGGAAGGACAGGAAGAGTGTTAGAAAGGAAAGACACAGTTCACAGTAGGAAAGGAAGATTGTTAGGACGGAAAGGAAGAGGGTAAGGAAGGAAAGGAAGGGTGTAAGGACAGAAAGGAAAATATGGAGTGAAGGAAAGGAAGATGGTAAGGAAGGAAAAGAAAATTGTGAGAAAGGACAGAAAGAATGTAAGAAAGGAAAGGAAGATTACAAGAAAGGCAAATCCATAGGTTGGGTAAAAAAGAAAGAGAAATGTAGTGAAAAGGGAAATAGCTTTGATAAAGGACAAAATTTAAAAAAATTATTTATATATATATATATATATATAAATATATAAAAATATACATATACAAATATATTTTTTTAATATATATATAAGCATATATATTGTTGTGTGTGTAAAAGAAAGTCAGGTTTGATAATATAGTTCCAAGGAACCAGGTTCAGAATCTCATGGTTTATGGAGAAAACCCTAGTCTTTGTTATATCCGTCCTTGCTAACACCCGGAGAAGCAAAAACTCCAGGTCGGAAAGCTCCCATACCGATCCTCTTTCCCTCCGTTGTCCGCACTTCTCACTAAACCGACCTCTTCCTCTCCGATCTCCGCCCTTCTCCCTCTTTCCTACTCAACCCGACCCCTTTCCCTCCGTTGTCCACCCTTTTCCTTATTTCCCACTAAACCCGACCCCTTTCCCTCTGTTGTCCACACTTTTCCCTATTTCCCACTGAACCCGACCCCTTCTCCTCCGTTGTCCACCCTTCTCCCTATTTCCCACTAAACCCGACCCCTTCTCCTCCCCACCCTTCTCCCTATTTCCCACTAAACCCGACCCCTTTCCCTCTGTTGTCCACCCTTCTCCCTATTTCCCACTAAACCCGACCCTTTCTCCTTCGTTGTCCGCCTGTCTCCTATTTCCTACTCAAACAGACCCCTTTCCCTCCGTTATCCGCCTTTCTCCCCATTTCCCCTCCGTTCTCCGGCCGAATTCTTCCTTTTTTTTGAACTCTCTTCTCTCCGTTCTGCGGCATTATTGGTATGTATGTAACTACATCAAAAAAAACATCCTATCTCTCTACTTATCTGTCTCCTCTCCTTCTTCGTACTCGCACCTACCATTCAAATTCTACACAATTTAAACTTTCCATGTAAAAAAATCTTCAAAATGGAAACAAAGCGTGAATGCAAATTTAAGAATATTTTCTCTAAAAAATTGGCCACAATTGTTCTCTTTTGCCTCAAGCTGAAGTTTATCTGCAGAATTGAATAATCAACAAATCTGCGGAAATATGCAAAAAGAAACTCCGGGAGGATTTATACAAAATGTCGGACAAATTGATACTATAAATTCCAACAGAATGATTTGAATATGCTTCGAACAGAGGGCAACCTAACCCAACCTAAATATGAGCTAAACAAGAATTATGAACTGGAACAGTCCAAGAATTGACCAACCAACCCTGATACACTGGAGCGAGGATAAGGAACAAAGTAAACCTGGAGACAAAGCCTGGTTTAATCTCAAGGATTGGTTTGATCTGGTCTCCAGGTCCCTTCCTATAAACTATCACTATATATTTTATATGAATCCTAATCCTACAATATTGTTCTATAATTCACTTCTAAACTTATCTCTGTATGATCCAGCCAGGGAGGATAATGTGAAACATAAGTTTAATTATTCATTATCATTGTATGCATACACTACACACTAAACTAGATAGAATATAAACTCTATTTATCAACTATATAAATGTTTAATTTACCTTCCTTGAACCAAATACGGTCAAACTTATATAAAAGTTCAGCTTCCTTCCACCTTTCATTCTGAACTTTCATATTCATAATCTCTTCTTAGGGCCGGGGAGGAGGGGACGGAGAGGGAGGGACGGAAGTCACTCCTCCTCCTCCCCCCAGCTTCAAATATGAATTCAGTTTGCTCCAAACAGAAAGATTTTCATGTTAGGAATTTACTATTTTATCATTACGCTGGCTGGCGAGTAGCGAGTAAGAAATTTCTGTAGTGAAAGGTAAGTGATCAATGGATAAGTAAATGAAAACCTAAGGAAATTAGCTAACAAGTGTGCCAGAGCACAACAGAATAAGTGAGTAAGTAAGTAAGCAACGGATAGTTATATAACAGGTAAGTACGTAACTACGTACATCTAAGTAAGTAAATTAGAGAATGGGTGAGTAAGAATGCGTTTAGTATGGTTTAGTGAGTAGGTGAGAGAGTAAATCTGTGAGTGAATGAGTGGATAAGCGAATGAGTGAATTTGTGAGTGAATGATTGGATAAGCGAGTGAATGAGTAAGATTTCCCTTGTCTGCTGAAAGTTAACAGTATATCTACCAGGTTACCGTTGTACTTTCCATATACACTATACAGGCAACACAAGGATAGATAGATAGATAGATAGATAGATAGATAGATAGGTAGATAGGTAGATAGACAGACAGACCAGGTAGAATTTCAGGGAGTGCACAAATGACCTGGATATGCATACACATGGTATCATTTCATTCATATATACATATATAAACCCTTCCTTCCTTCCTTCCTTTCTTCCTTTCTTCCTTTCTTCCTACCCTTCCTTTCTTCCTTTCTTAATTTCTTCTTTTCTTAATTTCTTAATTTCTTAATTTCTTAATTTCTTAATTTCTCAAGTTCTTAATTTCTTAATTTCTTAAGTTCTTAATTTCTTCCTTCCTTCCTTCCTTCCTTCCTTCCTTCCTTCCTTCCTTCCTTCCTTNTTTCATGAATTAAATAAATGTTGGTCCTATCCAAGCTAATCCAAGGGAACTCCAATGATCTTCAAGCCTGTTAGGCAACTTGAAAACCTGCTTAGGTGTCAACTTGCTTTAAAACTCTTAACCTTTACTAGTCCTCTATAAAAACTATTATAGTTAGACAAGATTTTGTAATGTGAACTATTTAACTAACCCTCCCTACTATATATTCCTGAGCTAACCCTCCCTAATATATATCCATGAGCTAACCCTCCCTACTATTTATTCCTGAACTAACCCTCCCTACTATAGGTGTCAACTTGCTAACCCTCCCTACTATATCTTCTATCTCCCACTATATATTCCTGAGCTAACCCTCCATACTAAATATTCATGAGCTAGCCCTCCATACTAAATATTCCTGAGCTAACCCTCCATACTAAATATTCATGAGCTAGCCCTCCCCACTGTATATCTATACATGAGCTAACCCTCCCTACTGTATATCTATCCCTAAGCTAACCCTCCCTACTGTAATTTATCTCTGAGCTAACCCTCTCTACTGAATATCTATCTCTGAGCTAACCCTTCCTATTGTATATCTATCCTTGAGCTAACCCTCCCTACTGTATATCTATCCCTGAGCTAACCCTCTCTACTGTATATCTATCCCTGAGCTAACCCTCCCTACTGTATATCTATCCCTGAGCTAACCCTCCCTACTGCATATCTATCCCTGAGCTTACCCTCCCTACTGTATATCTATCCCTGAGCTTACCCTCCCTACTGTATATCTATCCTTGAGCTAACCCTCCCTACTCTACATCTATCCTTGAGCTAGCCCTACCTACTACAAATCTATTCCTGCACTTGCAACTTTACATCTATCCTTGACTATCCCATCCTGCTTTACTTCTATCCTTGAGCTTACCCTCGCAACTTTCTATCTATCCCAGAACTAACGTACACTCCCTGCTTTTTATCTATCCCTGAGCTAACCCTCCCTGTTCTATTTCTATCCCTGAGCTAACCCACCCCTATTCTTCTGTCTCTATTCCTGAGCTAACCCTCCCTGTTCTATCTCTATCCCTGAGCTAACTCTGAACCTGCAGTATTGCTCATCTATTCCCAGCCAAATCCTTAGAACAGACTCATGCCAACATTCCCATTTTCCCTGCAAAACTTTCCCAGGGACCAGGGTTCAACAGAACAGGGTTTACTCTTCATATGGAGAAAACCAACCCAGGCTAAGCACAAAACTGAGTTTTTCAATAATTCCCACAAAAATAAATTCTAGGGTTTAATGGAAGATTTAACCTTTATGTTCTATTAGCTATACACCTTGACTTTAATAAATCCTTTCCCTATATAATAATTTCCTTAGAATGCTTTTATTAAGAAAAATTCTATTCTAGTATCTTAACCAAGCCATGCATTGAAATTCTCCATAGAGATGAGTAGCCTCCTCACTATTTAAGAAGCTTAGCCCTAATATCCTTAAACCCTATCCTATATATTTTAGAAACTTGATCCTAGAAATCTTTAAACCCTATTCTACAGGTTCAAGAAACAATATTCGAGAAATCTTTAAACCCAATGCCACAGATTCAAGAAACCTAATCCTAGAAGCCCTTAAACCCTATCCTAGATTTTCAAGAAGCTTAATCTTAAAATCCTTAAACTCTATCCTATATTTTCAAGAAAGCTTAATCCTAGAAATCTTTAAACCCAATCCTACAGATTCAATAAACCTAATCCTAGAAGTCCTTAAAACCTATCCTATATGTTCAAGAAACGTTAACCAAGAATTCTTTAAACCCAATCCTACAGATTCAAGAAATGTTATCCAAGAAATCTTTAAACCCAATCCAACATATTCAAAAAACCCTATCCTAGATTTTCAAGAAACTTCCTAGAAATACTTAAACCTAATCCCACTAATTCAAGAAACCTAATCCTAGAAATCCTTAAATCCTATCCTATATATATCTGAACCTGGATCCCGAAACAGATCAGTTCTGATATTCAAAAGAATCGGAAATAAAAGTTTAAACTCCGGAAATGGATTGACCTGCAACGAGAAATCCTCGAGCAGAAAATATCAAGATGGAGTAGGGGGCGTTCCTTCCTTCCTTCCTTCCTTCCTTCCTTCCTTCCTTCCTTTCTTCCTTTCTTCCTTCCTTCATTTTTCATTTATAATTGGTTATGATAAAGTGTAATGAACAAATTTTTGACTGATTAATTTCCTGGGTCAGCTGATTGGTCGGGTGAACCAAACAATTTATCAGCAAGGTATACTGATTGATCATCAATATTTTAGCTGATTAATCCGTAAAGTTAGCTGATTGATTGAGCATCTGGATCAGCTGATTGAATTTCTGGATCAGATAATTGATAATCTGAATCATCTGATTGACTTTGTGAATCAGCTGATTGGTCATCAGGATCAGCTGATTCATCAAATAGTTCTTCTGATTGATCGTTTGAATCAGCCGAATGATAAAATAGCTCAGCATATTTGACTATCTGTGTCAGCTGATTGGTCAGTCTACTAGCTGATTAAAATACAAACCAGGGGGAATCGAAATCAGCTGATAAATGAGACATATATACGCTGGAAATATTTAAAATAATCCTCGAAAGAAAATAAGAAAACCATCACGTCACGTGATCACTCTTCTCCCTTCTTGCATGATTCTGTTGTATAGATTTCTTAATACAATCCCTGGACTATATATAAACATACACCAGTACATTAACCCCATATATATCATACATCTACAATATACATAATATTTGAAAGTATAAGAAAAGATTTTAATTTTTATTGTATCAACATTATGTTTCATGGTATTCTTTCTCTATAAAGGAGGTAAATTCTCTCCTTGGACACCTTGAGTCTCCTAGCAATCACTCGTTTTAGCTCTTCCACCGAATCACCTTTATTTACACTAACTTCGAAAGGTCCTCCTGTAAAGGGAGCAACTGTAATACATATCCTAGGATCACTAAGTAGAGGGGGTGTAGTGGGGAGTGATGAACATCTAACTAACCCCGCCTCCTGCCCTTGTTCCTCCTTTTCTCTGTCTGGGTACATCCTGCCTGTTGCTTGGCTCTACACAGACTGGAGGGTTTACCGTGGGGCAGCAGCTCACCACAGCTACAGGACCCCTCGCTACACTACCAGACAAACTAGACATTCAGGACCCTGATCCACAGTTTTAAACAGCTGTACCCGACACATTTGACATTAATATTTCAAAGTTAACATTGTTTTTACCGATTGTATCCAGATATAAAAGTTTTATGAATGTATTAAATATTAAATAAGATCCCAGGGAGTATATAAGACTATTTGAGAAGAAGAGCAGAAACATTTGGGTCATTGACTGTATAGCTCTCCCTTACTCTACACACTATACACACTATACACTCTCTGCAACACAGGATTCTCCCTTTGTTCAGGTTCATAGGTTTTTACTCTTCTTACATCTTCTCTCCTTCTCTTTCCATTCTTAACTTGTCTTTGTTTTTCGCTTTTCTTCGTTCTTCGCTTTTCTTCAATGTTTGCTTTTCTCTTTTCACTCCTTTCTTTTCTCTTTTCAATCTTCGCTTTTCTCTTTTCACTCCTTGCTTTTCTCTTTTCACTCCTTGCTTTTCTCTTTTCAATCTTTGCTTTTCTCTTTTTAATCTTTGCTTTTCTCTTTTCAATCTTTGCTTTTCTCTTTTCACTCCTTGCTTTTCTTCGTTTTTCGCTTTTCTCTTGTCATTCTTAACTTTTCTCTTTTTATTCTTAGCTTTTCATCATTTTTCGCTTTTCTCTTTAAATTCTTCTATTTCGTTTTTTATGAATTCTTCTTATTTTTTTCATAACAATTTCTTCTCATTTCTTCTCTCCTGGGTATCTTTTCTTTCTTTTCTTCTTCTCTTCCTTCTCCTCTTTATTCTCTATCTCCTCCTTATCCTCCTTCTTCTTTTTCTTCTCGTTCTCTTACTTCTCCTCCTTTTCCTCCTTCTCTTCCTTCTCCTCCTTTTCCTCCTTCTCTTCCTTCTCCTTCTTCTCCTCCTCCTTATACTTCTTTTCCTCCTTTTTCTTCTTCTCCTCCTTTTCAAGTTTCTCATTTTTCTCATTCTTCTCATCCTTTTCATCTTACTTATCCTTCTCATCCTTCTCATCCTTCTCATCATTCTCATCCTTCTCAACCTCTCATTCTTCTCATCCTTATCCTCATGCTCCTCCTTCTCCTCCTCCTCCTTCTCCTACTCATCCTCCTTCTCCTCCTCCTCCTTCCCTTACTTCTTCTCCTCCTCCTTCTCATCTTTCTCGTTTTTCTCATTTTTTCTATCCTTCTCATCTCTCTTAATCTCGTTTTTCATACCCTTCACAGCTTCCTCCTTTTCCTCCTTCTCTTTGACACCCTTCTCCTCCTTCTCTTTGACACCCTTCTCCTCCTTCTCTCCACTGTCTCTCAGTCTCAGCTCCCCTATTTGTTTCTCTTTATCCTTTTATTTTTTGGCATCTTTCTTTTCTTTAACTTTTTATCCATTCTCTCTTTTGATTCTTCACTTTTATTCACAACGTTTGTTTCAGTGGTGTGCCTTATTACTCTTTTCTCATCTGTCTCTCATTTATCTCTTTCCTTCAATGTCTCCTCTTTTATTTGTTCATATTTATATCTTCTCTTTTCTCCTTTTCTTACTCCTTGATCTCGTTTATTTTTGTTGTTATTATAACGTTATTTTTTATGTTTTATATTGCTTTTCTTTTTTAACGCGCATTTTTTGCTTCTCAATTTTCCTTTTTGTTTCTGTTTTTAATCCAATCATAACGTTTTTTATCCTTTTTGTTTTGTTTTATTTTTTATTTCTCTTCGCATTCTCTTTATTTTCTTAATATCTTCTATAATTTTCAATCATCCTTCTCTCCTCTTATTATAATCCCATAATTGTTCCATTTTTCCATTTTCTTCAGTTTTTAAATTTTTTTTAATATCGCTCTTATATACTGTTTCTTACATCCAGAATATATATCATTATTCAATATTATAATTAAATTATATTAATATTTTATCAAACATTGCTTATTATTCGCTTTTTTTCTTTTTTTGCCTCTTTTATTTTTTTCTTTTTCTTTGCTCTTATTTAATTATATTCTGCTTCCATTTTTTATATTCGCGAATTTTCGTAATTTTCACTGTTAGTATTTCTCTTTACACTTAGTGTGTATAGAGCGGGATTGATGGTTGGATTTTCAAACGAGCTTCAACTCTAGAACTGGGTTTGAAGTAAACAATTCTTAATACTCAGTTAGTAAACAAATTAGAAATTCTTTTTATGAAACTATTTTTTAACTTTTGCATTCTTATAAAGTAATCATCGTGCTATGAAGTCAAATTAGCTGTATATTATAGCACCGTGCTATAAAGTAATCATCGTGCTATAACGTTAGATTAATTATAGCACGTGTGCTATAAAGTTTTGATTGGTTCCCGGATTTTATCAAAAAAAAATTAAGATATTTACAAAATATTTTTTCAATTGAAATGAAAATAAGATTAAAATCAACTTTATATTTTGACTTCTGCTTTGTTTCAAAGCTTATTTGATCTAGGAATGGCCATTGAAATAAGAAAAGTACACAAACGTTTATCAAATTACCTATAATACTATTATTTTGGCACGACGTGCTATCAAGTTTTGGACTTAAATTTTCTCATATCTCGAAGGTTCTCGCCTTTTTAGATTATATTTTGTTTCTCGATAATGAGAAAATTTAGAAATGTCGTCTTCATTGTATTGATATGAATACCGATACCACCGTTAGTGGACTAATAATATGGTTTCTATATTTTTCTGTTTCCAATAAACACTCATTATCAGTGGGTGTGTCACCAAAAATACACTTATATATGATTACACCCTAGCTCCCCCTACCTACAGGGAAACAGCTTACCAAACAAACATGTGATATAATGCATAGTCACCGAATCTCTAAATTATAAAAAGGATATTTTGATGCCACATTAGAGGCACGACTTTGCGACCTTGTAACTCATCTAGATTTCATTTTATATCCACTACTTGCTTTTTGTTTGTTAATTGCTTTCTAATTCCTATAACATAGCAACCCATTCTCCTAGACCTTTCATATTTCAAACTATTAATTCTTTTAGATCAAATAGTCTTAGTTTGAAATATCATAGGTTTACACCATCAGGTTGCGAAGCTATAGGTGTTAGAAAATTTGAGTTTGTTGCAAAAACTGTGTTTAATCCACAAACTCAAATGTGCTAAGCCCTATTAATCTTTGAAACCTGATGATGTAAACCTTTGATAATTTTAAAGCTAAAAGATATGATCATTTATAGTTCGAAATATCAAATATCTACTATTAGAAAATAATACTATTAGAAAAACTCCTTTTCGAAAATGTTTGAACTTAAATTTATTAATTCTCATATATAAATTCTTTTTGGTTTCCATGACTTCTGGAAGAGGAGTCAGGAGATGGAGGGGGGGTGCTGAGCCATCATGAGCCCCGCGAAATGAATTTCTGAGCCACCTGAGCCTCCTGATCCTTAAATCTTACAAGGATGTCTGTTAATCATTGTATTCTGTCTATTGGATTTCCATGTATTTTTAACACATGTAAAATGAATTAATATGATCCTCAGAAAGTCATGATCATTTTACATACAAAAAAAAATAAACACTGATTGACGTACATCCTTGATAAGATTTTTTAAAAACGTGGATCCAATTATATACGCTCAGATTTACGTCATGATATCTTATTTTTCAAACATAATTCAGATAATTACTTAATTATAAAGATTTATCTAAAAGAATAACTTTATAAGAAAATGAATGTACATTTTAATTATAGTTTAGCCAATTAAAAAAAAAACTATGAATGAAAACTAAAGTCATCATAATTGAGTACATCCATGCTTTCCAACCTTTTTCTTAATAAAATACATCAGAAGAATTATTAGATAATTACTGGCTGAAGTGCTGAGCTTTGTCTGATGAAATCTGAAACTTTGAAAAAAAATTTCGAATTCTAAACAAAATATTACAGTTTTTGGAGAAAAAAAATCTTATTTTTTAGCCTATGTTACACCTAGGGTACCAATGGGTTTCAGCCAATTTGGTCCAGCCGTTTGGCCAGCTATAGGTAACATATCTATATAAATAAATAAGCGAAGAGCGTTATTTTTATATAGATATTGATATTTTTCTTGAAAATGATTCTGACCATTTATAGAGATAAAGTAATTGTTTAACAATATTTAAAATTCTTCTTATTTTTGGGGTAAGCTAAATTAAAAAATTTGGTCGTCGTGTATATCAATACAATGTAGACTACTACTTCAGTTTTGATTTTGCACCATGTATCAAGTAACGACAAAGAAACATGTAAACAAAGAGCATCTGTCGATTAAAGGGAAAATATTCTTCGTTATTTTCATTTTAGTGTTAAAAAATCAAATATTAATTAATGTGAAATATTTAGGCTGATGTATTTTTGGGCATATAACCCTGCAATTTATTGCAGTTAAGAATTTAGGATGTGAGGTACACATTTTAATAATTTTTACCAAAACTAATTTCCTAAACAATGATATTTTAACAACAAAGATTAGATTAAGAATTAAAGCTTAAAATTATCATCATTGATATATAATGTATTGAAATATGTGCCGACCACTAAAGTTGCCTTTTATCAAGATCTGCAAAAATTAACCTTTTTTATTTTGTCTTTTGTAAACTTGTATTTAATGGCATGCAAAGAACGTGTCCAATGTTCATTGCAAGGTTATAATGCAAGGAAAGTTAATTGCAGTTGCGTATACTATAAACTTAATAGAAACTCATATAAGTGAAACTTCACAAAGAGAAACTCAATATAACAAGCCAGATGGAATCGATTAAAGCACTAATTTTGCACGGACATTTATTTTACATTATTATTAAAATACAAACTGAGGATCAACCGAAGTTAATCCTGGAATCATAGATGGAATCAATCCTCCTCTCGGAGCTACTGGAGACGTTATCGACCGCTCTCTTCAGATCCTTCATCAAGACTGCTCCTTTTCTCGGGGACAAAATGGACGTTCAGATTGCTTTCTCTT